ATTGAATCAAAACACCAATGACAGCTCAAGCGATGACATCATTAAATTGTAAAATCAAACGAGCTCACAGAGTGAGGTTTGATTGGAATTATGCCCGGGAATCTCGTCCGGATGGACTATGTAGTAGTGTCTCCTGATCACGCATTTATCAACAGTTTTTAGATCCAATAAAAACCAAAAGATGGCGCTTCTGGCGCTCGCGCCCTGCGCCCTGCACGGATCTGTTTCATTATTGAGAGTTGTTGCAAATCGCCTAAATATCCCTTGGTTCTGGGTGGGTTAAGTAAACAGGGAGGGAAGGGTCCATCCGGACGAGATTCCCGGGCATAATTCCAATCAAACCTCACTCTGTGAGCTCGTTTGATTTTACAATTATGCCTCGTGATCTCGTCCGGATGGACTATGTAGATGTTTAGAAGGCGATTTGTCATTGCTTCCCTTTTTTACGTGTTAGCGTATTTATTGCCCTAAAGGCAGGCGATTTACATATCATGTAATAATAGAACAATACTTATCTCTATAAACATACCTGAACGCTTGGTAGGACATAAGCTTATCACTTACAATTAGTCTACGGACGTGCTATTACCAAAATCCTCCGCGTCCACTATAGGACGGTTATAAAACCGAGCGAAGGTGCGGGACTGGCCCGACCAACCTGCTGCACGTTTTATCAAATCCAATGGCACGCCTTTGCGTGCTGCCAGCGATGTTGAAGCGTGTCGCGTGCTGTGTGAGGTAAATAAATTTGTGTCGACACCACAGTCCGTAAGACTCTGCTTTATCCAACGACTTATTGTCTGTTGACCTACAGGCCTGTGTGGCTTAACTAGTGAAATGAAAAACGAATCACCTGCGGAGGCCCGTAGGGGTTTAGTTATGCGTACATTATGATTTACCAATTTATAGATACACAGCTTTTCGTTATCAATGAAAGGAGAGAAGGAAAAGAATGGCTGGGAGCGGCCTGGTGCTGAAGTTTTAACCCGGTCCGGGACGATCAGTTTGTCTGAAAGAGTAATCTGGGACAAACGCAATGACGCTAGAGTTTGTGCACGTTGGCCTGTGGCTAAAGCTAATAGAAGAATTAACTTCTTCGAGACGGCTTCTAATGGAAGTGTGTCATACGGATATAACGTGGCGAGCTTGTTTACGACCGGGGCCGGATCCCAGATGTAATCATAACAGGGTCGCGGAGGTTTAAGTGTCCCCGCCCCCTTACAAAAACGCCTTACTAGAGGGTGTGCCCCAATCTCGTTTTGTGTAATTAAACCCACACAGCACATGTAGATACTGAGAAAGTTCTGAGAATATCTCAACAGTATATTACGTATATTCTCATAGCTTTTGAATATGTTCTATGATGTACTGAGTACGTACTGAAAATGCACTAATGTCCGCTTTTTCTCATACGTAGTATGTGCTGAAAATATATCAATGGTATATACTGAGGATATTCTATTGATATACCAGAATATTATTTGTAATATGTATCGTATATCGTAGGTACATTACACGCACATACGCACGCGTATATTTTTATATTCTATATATTTATTTGGTTAAATAATATAAATTTGTGACTCTTTATTAACATTCTGTAAATTAATGTTTATTCATACGTATTCATACATATACATCATTCATACATACATAAATTAATGTTTATTAGACTTGTATTTGTACGTACAATAAACATGTACAAATCAAAGTACATATGCGGAACATCTGATATAAAATCACGCAGAAAAATAAACAAAATTAAAAAAGAACACATTTTATAAATATTTCTGCTTATAACATATTAAGAATCTAAACATTCTAATTTTACGTTTATTTTTTAGCATTGCACATTGTATACAATACAAAATCAATCCAAAATAACATACAAGCAGCAAAATTAAAGAATAAATATGTATTAATATATTTGGTATATTTCTAATGCAACATAAAGAATATTGAAAATTCATGACTCATTTCGAAAGTACATTAAAAAACAAATAAAGGACCAAAAAAACCAATAAAAAAAGCTTACTTAATGAAACTAACGCGGACTATGTTTTAGAAGATAGCTCATATTGAATTTGCTAATGCGGACTCTGTTCCCTAGAAGATAGACCCAGCACCCACCAGCATAGCTAGCGCGGGCTCTGTCTTCAAAAAAGAACAGTCCCAGCACCCACTGGCACAGTCAATACGAACTGAATCTTAAAAAACAGTCTCAGCACCCACTAGTTCATTATGTATAATACAAACACATAATCTCAAATAACCAGAAAATTATGAGAAAAGTATTATGTATTAGTATAGTACCTGGATACCACAATGTATTTGTTGTCACATAAGAAATATACTAATTCCTAACAATATATAAACTGATATATCTTTGGTACAAATGCAAAACTGAATCTGTAGTTTATTTGCATTTATGGTTGTATCACAGTTTCATGTTGTCACAGTATCTCCCTTTCGTTCCTTTTCTGTTCCCATACGTTCTTTCGCATGGGCTAGCCATATTTTTATAGAAGCTGAAATCTCTTCATCTCTGGCATTTGTGTGGAATTGTCGTACTACACCTGGCAAAATTTTTATTAGTTAAATTTATAAAACTACTTATATTTATTTTACAAAGAAGACATTGTTTGTTAAGTATGAACTTAAAAAAAACCTTCATTTAACGGTTACCGACGCTTTATAAAGCTTGTTATTTTCCGCCAGGGCGGTCGAAACGTCCGTTAATTATTTCCACGCAGACACACAGATTCAAGAAATTGCGTCTTCATACTGTCATCATCAAAAATCAGACTAGAAAAACAATGTAAATTAAAACAACGCAGTTATTTCGCATGGATCTTATTCAGTGCTACGTTCACTCTGAAAGTTCAACTAACTGTGGATGGAGAATAAATGTAGCGCGTCCACGCAATCAATTATAATTGTATAAATTATGACATAAGCGATTTGTATCTTTAATTTTTGTACGTAACACCTGAATTATCTGAACGTGAACAGGTCTTTTATCGTCGTGCCGATGAATGTAAAAAATTCGCTCATCCCTTGAAACGGCGACGTGTGCTTTTCGGCGTTCGACGCGACGGGACAGACACTTGTCCCGTGTGTACCTGTCGTCGTCGAAAGAGTCTAGGGAAAAGACGGAGTGTTAAGTTTCGTAAATGCGCGGGGGGTCATTTTCAGATTTGCGATAAACATTTATATTCACCTCGTTGTAATTGCAGTTACTTGATTTTTTGAAACACCTATGCGTAGGTGTATAGCGTTCGTTTCTCTTTCTACACGATTTCAATTTTGTACTCTTTACCGCAGGGGCAATGTAGCCATCCTTGGAATATTCGTCCTGTTTAAATCTCTTGGCTCTAGTAAAAAGGGGCAAGCAAGTATTACTGCTTTGAACGTCCTCATCCATCTCGTTGTCCTTTTTGAAATATATTATGTTGGAAGTGTCCAATAATACCTATGTAATGCAGAAGAAAAATCGACACCAGTTTACTTACACGTACAGTATTCAAATCGATACTTGGTATAAATATTTCAAAAGTAGTGCTAGCAACATACGCACAAGAAATACTTTACCTCTTCATCTTTCACACATCTTTTTCTTTTAACAGATTTCGCTGGTATATCATCCGACGAAAATTGATTAATATTCTTATGCCTAAGTGGTTTTCTCGAGCTACTTTCCTTTCTCAAGGTCTGCCTGCATTCGGTATACTGAAAACAAGACAGTACACGTATGTGTGCTCGACAGAAAAGCCAGGTATCAAGACATGTACATTTTTAATAATGTGACAAATACACACTTTTCTAATGGCGCTTTGTATAGATTGTATCCACTCGTTGCTATCATCTTTTTCCGAATACAATAAAAATGTCTCATGCAAACACGTTATACGGAAGAGTTTCTTGCTCAGAACGCAAGTTAAACTGCACTTGTTTAACGGCAACACGCAAGATATGTTCAGTGACGTTTCCGGCTCGCCTTTACAGTATAGCAAAGTGTCATTTAAAAGAACAAAGTATCTCCTGTAAGCTGAATTGCCTCGTCTCGAGACGCGCATCAGTGATCCTTGTTTGATTAATATCCTACCAGGCTTGACGAGATTAATAGAAGTAACGATGCACTTTTGAAGGTTTAGCAACTTTTGCGTTTCTTCGTTCTGTACGATTAAAGTGTTTATGTGTTTTGCAGACTTTTCAATTTCAACCAAACACGCTACAAATAAAATCGGATTAAAGTCGTGTCAACAACGTGCATATTCGAATAAGTTATTGGGTGAATATGACATAACAATTACCCTGCAAATGCCTGTGCTCTCTGTGATCGTATGGGGTATGTTGTAACACTTGTTTAACGAGCAACTGATACCTCGGTACTCTTTGCACCGGGGTGATCAATAACGAAGCCAATTTCCTGCCTACTTCTGGTCTCGTTTCTTGATCGCAAATAAATCTTTTGAAGACAGAATCGTTCTCCTGACTTGTCTGAAAGGATCATCCTATAGACAAACTTTAATGTCGGCTGTTTGCGTCTAATAATACTTGTTTAATATCAAAACAACACTACAAGCACTTTATATCCGTGGCATGTGCATGGCAATCATGATACCGTACGAAAGGCACGAGAGGTTAGGTTAGGTTAGGTTAGAGGCCGAAGAGAACGACACGGCAGTCGGCACGGCAGCATGGTAGTCACGTGATCACTATGCGCATGGCAGAAAGGCTCGCGCTACTGCGGACACGGTCGACACGCAACATTACTTTGGCCGCGTTTATATTTTGCAACTGTTGTAAGCTTTCTTCGTGCTGATTTTGGGTCATAGTTTCAGATTCTATAGATGAATAGACCTATGTATCTTAACAAAGAAAACTTCCAACAATTACAAAATAAACTTTCTGCTAAACGCGACTTTTATATATATAAATATAAGTCGCGTTTATATATATATAACTACAGTACATTATATATATATATATATATATATATAACTACAGTACAGTCGAAGTATAAGTTTAGAAACTCTAA